CTCAAGACGTTCAGGTTCTAAGGTGTTGTGATGTCATTTAATTTTACTAAAAAAAATAAACAAATCGGCACTTCGCGACTTTCTTAGCCTTGAAAAAAATCGAGACTGCGAGACGCACATAACTGCTAAAAAACGAGACTGCGAGACCCGTGAAATTCGGCGAAAATTTTGCGAGACCCATGTTTTTTTGAAGGACCATTCGCCACCCCTAATTTAGAAATTGCTTTCAAGCCAATGCAGTGTTCCTATAAGTAGTATATTACAGAGCTTTGATTTTGCGGCGCTTGTTTATGCCTTCTTAGAAGTGGCTAAAGTAAAACCCTTTTTACTTAGTTCGTCGAGTAAGGAGCGAAATACAACATAGCCGCTATAAAAACTGGAATACGCATGGTGCTTCACAAAATAACAAAAAGGTAGGAAAGAAAGGATCTCAAACAGCAACGTGCTTAAAATATTTTTTCTCCCTAACATTGGTTGAACAATCATTTCTTAGAATTCGTGGCAGATCAAAACTTTACCACCTAGTTAATAACTTTTCCTTCTCGTCACGAGTCTGTTTAAAGATGGATCGATTGGTTCGGAGAAATTTTAGCTCATCGCTGAAAGAGATAAACATATATCTTGATCTACGAACCTTCTCCGTTAGATTCCATTCTTGAAGCAGTGTTAACTGTATCACCAAACAGACAGTAACGAGGCATTTTCAAGCCAACAACGCCTGCACATACGGGACCTTGAACATAAAGATGACACACCACTTCTTTCAGTTTAAACTGAATACTTCACAAGTGAAGACTACAGCGAACATGAACTCACCGCTATGGATGCCAATTCTCAGCTTTAGCTTCTCGTCAGGACGGTGCCGTATTTTAAACTTCTCCACAGATTGCAGAAGATGAAGCGCCATGCATGCTATTTCCTCGGCGTGTTGATGCCCGTTTCTGATTGGTAGACCAGAGACTACCATGTATGCGTCGCCAATCGTCTCAACCTTGGAGTGAAATCAAAGTCATTTGAAATGGGTTCGTTGTTTCGTTTAGAAGAACAGAAATAGGAAACTATTGTGATTTAAAATCAAATAGCAACTTCATTAGAAATAAAGACCTTATAAACATCATATCCCTGAAGTATAGCATCAAACGTGGTATAGAGGTCATTCAGCAAAGTCACAATCTGCAAGTTAAAAAAAAAGATAATAGAAAAATGAAAAGCGGGAAATGAAAACTTACGAGCTATTTAGTATTAGAAAAGAACAAGAGAACGCAAAAATTGTTAGTAATAATCATCGGTCAGACGGTCCACGGTTTAGCACATTGTAGGATCTGGTTGGGTACAGCGCTAGCTGTGGCTAAACAGTTCAATATGTACAAACCTGAGATTTGTTTTGTTTTCTTCAGTAGGTAAAAGTTAAGATCGGTAATATGAGCACTGATATTAGAAATGAAACCCATAATTTAATGATGTTGCTGGTTGGGTGGACGGTGCTTACTGCATTTAGGGCGCTGAACCGAAGTAGATTGGGCTGGGTCAGTTTAAGTAGCCTCTAGAGAAGGTGCGCCGATCAGACTGTAAAGTAACTGATTCTAATCGGACTCCGCTCAAGGCTCGCAGATTGAAAAAATTGTAAAGCAGGAAGCTGGTGGAGAGAATGAGCAAGAAAATTAACTCTTCCAGTTCAGAAAACTTCACCTGTAATGGAGTACTTTCTGATGAGAGTGCTGTGAATCCCACGATGTCACTGAAGAAAACCGTCACCTCGTCAAAGTTTTCAGCTTCCACCGGTCGTCCACTCTTTAACTGATCAGCAACACTCCTTTTGAAATATATAAATTAATACAAAATAATTGGAAAAAACGATTCTCATTCTTTTGGTGTTTACGTCACTGTTTCTCTACATAGCACTAGCTGTATTCCGCATTGCATCCAAATAATATTATGATCTCCAGGTTATTCCTAATACCTTACATATTTTCCTTTTTACCTTTATTATAGTTCCCTGTTATTTCTATCCCGTTCCTCTTTCACTTTACAAACTTTGTTTCTTCTCACTATGATCAACGAAAACTTGTTCCCCACCCACTCCCACAATATGTACGAGTGTATAAATGACATGATTACTTTGGAAGCATGCTGTGAAGCAGTTCCTCTGTCCTCTTCTTTTCTTCAATCCACTGTTCCGTTCGTTTCTCCACAAGTTTTTCCAAATTGAGTGAGTGCTCTTCCAGCATGTAGATTATTTTATCCACGAGGTTATTCCTTGAAAAGGGCACAAGTACAAGTCAATAAGTTATGCACAAAGACAACGGTACCGTCCAAGATGCATAACTGGTTTGTAAAAATCTGAGCTAGGAAATTGCTAGTTGTATTTCTTATCCCCTTCGATGTGCATGCTAGTCCGTGACAGAGTATCCCCTCCAGAATAAATTCACCGGTACCCATACACACTTCTGGGTGGACGGAGGCATTATGAGAGTGAAGGGTCTTTTCCAAGAGCTTAGTGACACAATGACTTCGATCAGGGCACAAAGCCGAGCTGCTCGAACCGGAGTTCTGCGCGCTAACCATTAGCCTTCTTCGTCCCCCAAACAGATACAACAGAACCACCCATAAAGCTAAGGGAAATTAGGGACAGCAATGAAAACTGTTTTATAATAACATGACGTCGCGGAGCTTTTCACAGTAGGCTGTGCTGCGAATCTTAGCGACTGTACCATGAGGACAAGTGGTATAGCAAATCCGCTTTGCCTTACTTTCCTCCATGTAGTTTCTTCAGTAGCTTTCGAATCTCCCAAAAATCAGGTCTTTCCTCTGGAATCTCCCGCCAGCACATTCTCATCACGAGTTGTAGATCGTCATTCGCTACATTGGTAGGGAGAGGAGGGCGAAAAGGAGGTCTGGTACCGGCTAAAACGCGCCCTAAAATTTCTGGGAAGAAAACAACCAATCAGATTACTACAGTAAGTAGCATGTCAGGTCATATAAAGTCGGAACTGTCTTTGCCTTAGGTGACACCTAGTCAAGAAAAAGATAGGTACAGGTACACGTTCTGTTTCTGCAGGTGGTTTAGGAAAACAAATATGGAAACACGGTGGTTTTGATACCAACACGTGCGGTAAAGTCCTGCCTTTAAACCATTTCAACATGCAGCAAGAGCATGTTAACTTCGTATTTGCATTCTGTTATTCTTGCAGATCCATTTCTCTGAAGAAGATCGCTGAAGGCTGTCGAAAATTTAGTTGTTGTTCTCTTTTGAACATTGTAGACCTGTTTAAATA